ACATTCTCTTAACTCTTCTTACGTACTTTTAGAATGTTCTCACAGTCATCTAGTGACTTAACCATGTATTCAATTTTGTATCTCATGACATGACATAAATGATGGATTCATTTTCCAAAAAAAATAGAATATAAATCATTTCATCTAGCTCAATCCTATATGCTAGATCCATTTGAGACAAACTCAAAAATGGTGTCATGTGACAATGTTAAGAATCTTCCAAAGGAATCTTGTATCTTGACCTCTTTCAAGATGTTGTCATTTCATGCAAAAAGAATTTTAACCTTTAACATTCATCTTTATCTATCTCTTATAGATTTTACATTCCAAGAATGTATCTTGTCATTCCTAAGTATTTCATTTTAGAACTACTTTCCAAGTCAAGGTGAAAACCACCTTGCATAGTCAGAATGTTGTTTTAGCTAATCGCTACTAATTCTTTTTCAATATATTTTGCTGTTAACAAACGAGTACAATAGTAAAACATCAACATATATGCAACTTAGATTTGATCTAAAGTTTCATTTTCTTATGACCAAGTATTTGGCATTCTTGATTATAAGTTTTAATTTATGTTGTTTGTACGTTGTTGTTTCCCTTTTTCTTTTGGGAAAATTTCATATATATCCTTCCAAACTTTAAAAAGTACATCAATGTCCTTATAAAATATTAAATTACGTATATGTCATTTAAAAACTATAACATTTATGTATTTATGCAACCCTATATTTTAATTAGAATTATAGCATTTTAATATTAAAAAAATTATATAAAATTCAAAACTATATATAACTTTACCAAAATACCCTTTACAATTAAACCCAAAATAATTTTGATCAATTAAACTTGTAACTAATAATTCAATTCAAGGCCTCTTTCTCTTTACTCAATCGATTCATACACCATCCTTTTCACCATTTACCTCACCTTCTTTTCTCATATACCCTCTATCGAGGACCATCACCTGTAAACCAGTGTTGCCTTCATGCCAAGATACTTTGAAAATCCAATTCGACGACAACTCTTCATCGATGTGACCTAGATACAACCTCCTATGTTCATGACAAAATCACTTTAACCCACAATTTCCCCCCTCCTATTCTCACCGATTACTACTAGTTGAAGCCTCACCCCTTAGCCGAAGATGTGTATCAACCCCAATTTTGTCGGCTTCCCCTGCTGTAGTAAGCTTAAAATCCCAAGGTAAAACTCGGATTCTGATCTCCCTGTGATTTGGTGTTTTTAAGGTTTTGTATTTGTACCCAATTTCCTACTATGTTTGTTTGGATTATCTTTCCTAGTTTCAAAATATCAAAATTATTGTTTAAATGTTTTAGGGTATATATTATCTTAGGATCCCCGATTCTAAGGTCTTAATGTTATCTTGGAAGTTGGAGACTATATGTTAGTTGGATTACATGTGATTATTCATTATTCTCTTCTAAATGCTCATACAATGTATACCCTGATAAGCAATAACCAACAATACAGAGAAATAGACAATATGAGAAAGAACACTTGCTGAATTGAATGAAATTCATATTGGAACGCACAGTTGACTAAACTGCCCCTTACTTATTTCTCCTATTGTAAGAAATTGTTTCAACATGCTTTTAGTTTTACACAAGTTAGATAAAAAGATAGAATCTTTTTCTTTTCTTTATATTTTTCTTAAATGTTATGTTACAATATGTGTGGTAGAATCGATTAACAAACCATATTACCTTTTGTAAAGTGAAGTAGTCAAAAAAATTTGGTATTGTTTGGTGTGAATTGAAAAGATAAATAAATTCCATTTTCTTCACTTTCTTTACTTAGCCAAAGGGTATTACTTTGCCGTTACATATATTCATATATTGTTGATCTCTTTACAATGGAAAAAGGGATTTTTAACCTTTTAACCATCTATTATCTAAAAAGAGGATGTGTTGTTAAAAGTTAATATGTAATCTACATTGTTTCAAGTGGCTACCTAGTTAACTCTAGCTATAATTCTGGTCGTCCATCAATATGCAGGTACCTTATAATTATATGTGCAAGTTCTGCACTTTAAGCTGCAAGTAGATTGTTATCATGACATGTCATTCTTAGTTGATGCAAAAGAGTGATGCTTTTGAGGTGAGGTGCTAATTCTGTCCGGATCAAGAAACCATACCATAAGTAGAGTGGTATATTGGAAACACCAATACAAGTAGATTGCTTCTTTTGAAAATCCAAGTAATAAAAGGCAAGCAAAGGATTTTTATTTCAAACGATGATGCTAAAGTGTTGGTGTTGTTGCTGGTCTTTTCTTAAAGATTCTTTATATTATGTTCATTTAATTTATGTAACTTTTTGTTATCTCTGTAATGTAACTTTCTTGTTGTTGTTAATACTTAATGCATTTTATCCATTCAAGAATTAAGTTTGGTCCCATTTCATTGTTTACCCTCCAAATTCATATATTTCATGTTGTTGTTCTATGGATACTGAAATAGTAATTTACAATACAAAATGATCCCTTTTTCGAAAACAAAGTTATTGTAACGACGTAAATTTTAAAACCAATTTTTCATTTTTGCAAACATCAAAAACATCGGTTAATATTTCAAATTCAAACGTAACAACATTGTCACAAACGAATACATTACAAGATCATAAAGTAGTTTTTCCTGATAATGTGTACGATCACGCCGGCGCCTTCCCACGGTCCTCGCTAGTACCTGAAACACATATCACAACAACTGTAAGCATAGTTGCTTAGTGAGTTCCCCAAGATACAACCTACGCACATACGCCTTTCTAGGCCCTGACCTTCCGGTCCATGTGTCTCAGGGGACTTCCGTCCCGACTGGGTAAACCTTCCGGTCCTACCCACGTCAACCTTACGGTCCATATTACAACGCCTTCTGGCTCATAACATATTCACCTTCCGGCCCATAACATAATGCCTTCCGGCCCATATCAAGCATATCTTACATGGCACATATTATCATTAACTTATCACACATAATGCATATATCTCAGATCATATTTGACCTTCCGGTCACACAGTCAAACCCTTCCGGGTACAGTATAGTGAGAAGACTCACCTCGTGGGAAGTCTAAGATCTTGTGTCCTCGTTATCACCGAATCCAACGAAGGCTCAACCTTGCCTAAGCATAAAAATATCATTTAATGCATGAAGACTTCCACAACTAAAACTTTACCCCTTATCATCCTTCCTGAAAGGGTAAAAGACCATTTTACCCTTCCTTGACCTAAAGTCCTCATGTTGACCAAAACCCTAAAAGTCAACAAAAGTCGACCATGAGAGTACGCGGGGCGTACATCGCCAACTCCCCCTGGATCAGGGTCTCCACCCAGTACGCGGCGCGTACTGGAAGTTACGCCCTATGTAACCACCATAATCAGCCACCCTCCATTTCTGGTCTTAATCAGTTAAGTCATTAATCCAACTTCCAGATCCGACTCCTTTAGTGTGTCTAAACCCATAAAGTCGAGACCTTTAAGCCTTGGCATGGCTGTAAAGGCTCCAACATCACATAACAACCTTTTATTCAAACTCAAGGACCTAGATCTCATGCATGGTGCAATACCCACGTCCAAGATGCCATTTTTATGAATCAACAACTCCAATAGGTCAGAAACATGAAGCATCTAAGCTTATGGAGGCCATTTGCACAAAAGTCTCCACCTTTGGGACTTAAACCCTAGAAAATGACATCTAAAGCATACAACAAGAACCAAGTGTCAAGATCCGAACTTTTTACTAGAAATTGAAGCTTTAACCCTTGCAAAGCTCAGATCTACACTTGAGCACCACTTCTAGCCTCTCCAACAAGCTCTTCTTCTACTTTGAAACCTTAAAATGGCACTACCAAGCTTAGAATCATACAAAGGCTTAAGGACGATGGCACACCCTATTTAGGGTTTCACTCTGAGGGGTGGTGGCTGAGAAGTCCAGCCACACATTCCTTTTATAGCCTCAACAAAGGAAATTAGGGTTTGGGTCTGAATGAGTTTCGCCGGGCGTAACCTTGGGTACGCCCCGCGTACCTGAGGGGGAATGCGTCCAAATGAGGCGCGCGAGTACGCGCAGCGTACACCTTGTACGCCCAGCATACTCGCCTACCATGAAAACCCTAAATCATTAACTTAATCAAGATGCAAGGCCAACAGAAGCATACCTGGATTTCGGGCTGTTACAGTTATAAAATTGCTCTTTATGGCACAAAAAACCGAATTGGTCCCTGTAGCATGTTAACATTGCCAATATGGTCCCTATGGCTATTAAAAAAAATTGGACAAAATGGTTCTTGTGCACAAAGCATTAAAAATTTGGTCCATGTTTAAGAAAAAACATTACACATATGTTCCCTGTTTCAAAAGAACATTACATATATAGTCCATGTTTCAAAATAACATTTAAAATGGTCTTGTGCACAAAAACATTACAGATTTGGTCTATGTTTTAGAAAAAACATTACACATATGGCCCCTATTTCAGAAAAACATTACAGATATAGTCCGTGTTTCGGAATAACATTTAAAAATTGTCTTCTGCACAAAAAGCACTACTGATTTGGTACATGTTTCAGAAAAAATACACATATGGTCCATGTTCAGAAAAAAACTTTACAAATACAGTCCTTGTTTCAGAAAAAAAATTAAAAATGGTCCTTGTACCCAATAACAGTTATAGATTTGGTCAATGTGCCAGAAACTCATTACATAAATGGTCTATATGGCAAAAAAAAATTTACAAAAACGGTCTATATGCAGAATTTGATTACAGAAATGGTCCCCCATGGGAGAAATATATTACACAAACAACCCGTATGACATAATATCTTTACAAAATGGTCCCTACTAGAGAAATAGATGACAATTGCAATCCCTATAGCAGAAAATGTTTATATAAATGGTTCTTATTGGAGAAAATACATTACAAAAACAATCTATGTGGAATAAATTCATTAAAAACATGCTCCAAAATTAAAAATAAAAAATAAAAAATCCATGCAGCAAGCATTAAAGTACTTAAATGTAATGAACATCATAACAAAAACTCATGATATTTTGTTTTCTTTCCACTTGCTAGAGGATGCTTCATCAAAACCTTGATACACGGGATGTTTGCAAGTCCTTTGATGGTGTCCATACATACTACAACGCGGACATCTGTGTCTTTTCTTGGGCTCATCATGTGGTATAATTCTATTCTTTTTAGGTCATCCAGGCGGTCGTTTTATAATAAGAGGGTATATTCTTTTCGACTGTCTCTATATTCACCCATTGATCTTTTCCAGACATCGGACTAATTTCTAAAGCATATGCTTCTTTAAACTTGTCTACTGTGAAATATGTATCAACATATTTTTCCCAATTAGGATCCCTTGTGAAAGCAATAAAAGCAGTTGTATGCACACATGGAAGGCCTGTAACTTGCCATTTTCGAAAACTACACTTTTTCTCATCCAATACAACATCCCAACGACATCCTTTGTACTTCACTTCTGCTTTATTATCACTGCTTCTACAAACTTGATATTCACCCAAGTTCTACATGAGAAAATAAAAAAAAAGAACAACCTAATATCTAGAAAAATATATATGTATAATGCAAAAATAGTTATGTATATCTATAGTTCCTTAACTTGCCTTAATGATTGTTTTGAGATACTTATTTACTTTTGGTAGAAGTGGCCCTTTCCATTTTTGCACCTTACTCCTTTTATTGTCAAATCGTTCCATAAGCTTTTCTCTAATTGCATCAAGGAGACCAAGAACCGGTTTATAACGTATGTCACCTATCCAAGAGTTAAAAGTTTCTGAAATGTTGTTGGTAATGTAATCACATTTGACAAGTGTGCCAAACTTACTTCAACTCTATATCTTTTTATGGTTCTCATTCAAACATGAAATTGCATCTGCACATTTAGTAGCAATTTCCTTTAATGATCTATCATGCTTACTAACAGAGTATGTATTTATAGCCTCACATAGTTTTCTCATGAAAAAGTCACCTCGAAAATGTTCCTTAAAGTTGCTACATAAATGTCTTATGCATTTTCGATGCTCAATATTAGGATAAACCTGTGTAATAGCTAATTCCAAGCCTTTTTGCATGTCAGAAGAGATAAAAAGACCATTTGGTGTACCAATCGCTTTTTTTAGTGACGCGAGAAACCAAGTCCATGATTTTGTATTCTCTGCCTCAAGCACACCATAGGCTACTGGAAACATACCATTGTTACCGCCAATACTTGTGGCAGCAGCTAACACACCATTAAATTTCCCTTTCAAATGACAAGCGTCAAGCCCAATGTAAGGACGAAAACTAGCAAGAAACCCCTTAGAGCATGATATTAATGATATAAAAAGCGTAGGAAATGTTTCTTTTCACCAATTGTCTGTAAATCAATCTCCGCCACACTTCATGGGTTTCTTTTTTCAAGTTCTTGTTTGAAATCCTATATATTTGCATAAGAGTCATCCCACTTGCCATACATATCGGTATAAGCTTGTTCTCTTCCTCTAAAGACTATCATATATGGTACTTCAACATTGTAGGTATGCATAAGCCACCTTTTTAGGTCTGCAGGAGAGACGTCGCCTTCAGATTTCAACTTGTCGGTAACAACATCAACAATCCATCATTGAGTGGCATTTTTGTTACCACTCTTGTTGCTTCGAGTACAAGAATGAGTTTCTATAAATTTCTTTACCTACAAAATTGAAAAATAAACATATAATTATGTTAACATAATATCAATGTCGATGAATGTAGTATTTCTCAAATTTTATACTTACTTCAAAAGTAAACCCATCTTGTGTAAGAGAACCATGAATTCTCCACTTACACTTTTTATCTCCACAACATGCTGTAAGTCTTGTCAAATCACTTTTCTCAATGACATACTCAAATTAATTTGTTAGTGCATAATGATTCAATGCTCTTCTAAAAGCAATTACACTAGGGAATTTAGAATTCACTTTCATAAATGGATTTAACTTACTATATGCATAAGTTTCGCCATAATTTAGAAGCTTATATTCATTATCGGAACTATGAAGACTATGATAGCTTTCTTGACTTGGACAAACTGAGTCTGTCTCATTTTCATCATCAAGTTCATCATTAACTTGATTTTGACAACTAAATGGTTTAGGGTTATACCTTAATTTTTCGGTTGTCACATAAATTGTTACTTCTTTCTCTTCATTATACATGTTAAGCATCACCATGAAGCTATCAACATTATCAAGTTCAATAAAACAATGCTCTTTTGCATGTTTGTCAAAAAATACAATTGACAAAACAATATCGCTTTATGATGGATACTGTTTTTTCACCTCTTCAACTAGATGATCTAAGTCGTACGAACATGTGTCTACATAAAGAGATTTTGTAAATCCAAAATAATATACTTGCTTATATGAGTTCCTGGCTAACTGAAAGAAGCCTTCATATTTCAGTTTGAACTTGTATTTCGATATTACTTGCTTGACAACCATAATGAAAAAAATAATTAATGGAATTGAAGTGCCACATAAAATATCATTCATCTTGCTTGTAAGAACTTACTCAATTATCGGGGACTGAACACTTATTTCCCATGTTGGTGTATCAATCTCATCATCCATCAAAATTAATTGAATAAACAACGGATTGCTTGTTGCGATTATAATAGGAGGAGAAGAAAAAACGACATTACAATTAATAAATTCCAAAAGCTAATCAAACATACAACCAAAATTACTTAAATCAGTAATAGATATATACATGTGATGAGAAAAACCGAACTTCACTAATGAAGAAGACGTGAGGAAGAAGACCTAATGAAGTAGATGCGATGAAGAAGACCCCAACTGCAGTCGACGTATGATTAGGAGGAATCACGATTTTGATTATGATAAAGAGAATCACATGATATGGAGAATCACATTGCCAAGATTAATCATAATTAACCATGATTTTAATTTAATCTTTTATTTGCAAAAGGGTATTTTGGTAACTTTATATGTATTTTTAATTTTTAAATATATCTTTTGATATTAAAATGATTTATAGCTTATTAAATTATATGTTTGGATATAAATGAGAGTTTAATAGGTTAAGAAGGATATATAAGTACTTATAAATTTTGAAATGATATATATGTAATTATTAGTGTTTACAAGAATATATATGAAAATTTCCCTTTTCTTTTCCTTAACTTTGGAATTGGTTCACATTTTCTATAATTAATGTTGACTTCTCTCATAGTTTTGATGAAATGTGACCAATGTGATGCTAATTAACACAAACACAAACCGTACTCGATCAGGTGATGATAGAACATAATAATAGTCACCCATAACACATTACTGTAACTTACTATTATTAAATACTCTTTTATTTCGCTCTATAAATACGAAATAAATAAATAAAATATCTCTTATATTATTTATTTCACCACACAACTTCTAATCAATAGAAAATCCCAATATTCTTTAGCATCTGCAATGACATTTTAGGGTGCCCTCTATTTTGCAAATCCCTCCCGCGCACCCTTTTTTTGTACAATCATTGTTACAAACTTGTGGATTACATGACGGCCTGTTAAAACTTTTACAACAATAGTAATTCTTTGGATCAGTGCTCTCTCTATTATCCATAGCCATTGGCCCATCAACGGTTTCCAACATTGAGCACATCAATGGTCTCCAACATAGTGCTGCAACCATGGCCAAAGAAATACTTTTCAATTACTTTAATGTTGTCATGCATATATGGCCTATACTGATAAGTTATTATACCATAGTAAATTTAATAAAATAATGTAATTCAAAACTGGAAATGAAGTAATAATGCTAGTTTAATGGAGATTCATGAGGACAGGACTTTTGCATGAAACTATACATATACAAACAATAAGAAAAGAATTAGGTATGTATAGATAGAATGTGAACCATTAAAATAAAACCCTTAGAGATTTACTACTTGGCAAGGAATCCATATGTAAAAAACTTACCACTACAAAGAACAATGATCAAGAGAATTTGGCAAGGACTTCTTGGTTGAACCATTTTTTTAAGTAAAAGAGATAGATTGTATTGAATTTCTGTGTATCACTCCAATAGATATGGTATACATATATAGGTTCGGTGAATACTTAAACAAGGTAATAGATTTAATACATACCATTAATTTAATTTTATATATATATATATATATATATATATATATATATATATATATATATATATATATATATATATATATATATATATATATATAGGTTCATGTGTTTCCCATATCTATTGTGTGCTAGATTATATCAATAAAAATTTAGTAAAAATTAAATTATTATTTAATCAAATAAAGATAAATATTAAATGATTGCTATAATTATATGTATATTAAATGATATCCATAACTATAATTTCTCTTTTATGGAAATTAATTAAATTTATTATTAATGTCAACAATAATATTCTTACAGAATAAATTCGCATCTAGATTTTCATGTATATGTTCGTATTTTGTTTCATAACCTACTCACGCAAAATACAACAAAGATGAATGGAACATAGAGAACGATAGTGTATTCTAGCAGAATGAAAGTTTATTCTACCAAATGAGAGTGTATTCTAATAAAAAAAAGAGTATCTTCTAAGAGAATTTACTCTCATTCTCGATGTTCCATGCAACTTTATTGTATTTTAAGTGAGTAGGTCCTAACACAAAACAATAACTCATATATGAATGCCTAGATGTGAATTAATTCTGAAAGAATGTTATTGCTGCCATTAATGACGAGTTTAATTAATTTCCATAAAAAAATTATAACGATGGATATCATTTAATATACAAACAATTATGGAAATCATTTAATATCTATCTTTATTTGATTAAATAATATTTTTATTTTTACTAAATTCCTATTGATATATTATAACATATAATAGATGAACACATGAATATTGCCCTATATAAGGCTATGATCATTTGTAACTAGCATCTATTATGTAACTGTGTAATTGATTCCTAGTCATTGGATCAATGAAAAATAAAATCATTCTTGAAAGAATATTATTACATTTATTATTTTCTTTTAAGAATTCAAATCTCAAAATGTCTTAGGGTTAATTTGCACATTTTGTGCATCTTTATATAAGGAAACAAATTAATGAATTCTAGATTTTTAGGAAATAAATTTATTATTGTTATTTATAGTAAAAATATATATATTTCTTTAAGAATCATTGTGATGAGTGTATAAAATTGTAAATTGTAAATTCATAATATAAAATTGTAAATTGTAAATTTATGAATCTTATATTATATTTTAAAACATATTACTCATATCTTGAATTATAATAGGTATAAGTTACAAAGTTTTTTATACAAATCAATTATGCATCAATAATTCATTAATACTTGTCAAAAGTTTGAAAACTTGAATTAAGGAAACTAATTCAGAAATTTAATGTGGAGCAAAAACGAAAAATTTGAAATATTAAATTTGTGTGTGTGTGTGTGTGTGTGTGTGTGTATATATATATATATATATACTAGTAGCGTACCCGCGCAATGCGGCGGCGGCGATTTGTTTCATTCCGGCGATTAGTTTACGAACGAAAATTAGTGTCATTTCGGCGGTCGTCCAACTTTAATTCCGTCGATTTGTTCCTTTTAACGATTAGTTGTCTCTAGACGGATAACAAATAGTAGTTTTCATCTATTACTTTTTCTCTGGCAATGATGCCATATAGTTTTAATGTGTCAGTTAGTTACATTTTTGTGTTTGATTGTTCAATTTCAACCCTCTGGCGAATTGTTTCTTCGGCGATTAAAATTCTTTAGGCACGTTGTTGTTTCACAATAAAAAGAAAAGTATGTTCTTAATTTGCAATGTGATATGGTGCTAAGGCGGTGAATTGTTTATTTTCGGCAAGTAGTTTGGTTTCTACGATTATGGTTTGGGATGGGAGTAACAAGCGTACGTATGTTGTTTTGGTTTAACAATATAAATATACTATGATTTTACGATAAACATAAGATTTTGATATCTTTGAGATAAAAACAATAGTACTTTCTATTTAGGACTAAAAATTGTTGATGTCCCCACTAATTTAAAGAGGTACCCATGGAGGACGATGAATAGAAATATTTTTTATTTTCAAAAAATAATTTCATTATGGCAATTAGATTCCATTCAAATTCGAGGCTAATAGGTTTCTTTTTGCACAAGGTCTTATTTCAATAAAAATGGAGAAAATGACAATATCATACTAAAAAGATTGTAATCTTTAGGTTCTCCGAATACACAAAACATATATCCACAGTATACCAAACAACACAACATAAACGATTCAAATTTGTAATAAATTACTACAAAAAATTAAGACAGTTAATGTTAAAAATGTAAAATATAGACCATATTCAAAGTTTACCAAGCCATCAGAACGAAAAAATACTTAACATTACTATGAGACTCTCACAAGTCTAAAATATGGAGTTTGCATTAGAAATACGAACATTGATTAGATACTTTGTTACCTAAAATTGAGAATTAAGGTTGATTTTCACAAATAAACTTTATAAAGTGTTTTCTTATATTATATTAAGGAATGTTGACCAAAAATTGAGGTTTGGACTTTGGAATATTAATGTTTAACTTAAGCATACTTGGAGTTGTACTAAGGCCACATCGTCCCTTTAAGTGGATGATGCAAAGCTTAATCCCATTCCAACCATAAGTCATCTTTAAGTTAAAAGTAACAAATAATTCTAATAACACATTATACTAAGTAACATCCACCTATGATTAAATATGATTAAATAGGTATTATTTGATCAAAATCATGTTATAATGATTAATATTTTAAGGTGTGCATCATACTTTATAGAAGCTAAATTTGAATCAGGAAGTGTAACAATTAATACAAGAGAAGTAACCAAATTAATGAAAAGTTAAATATTGCAGTCAGAATAGTAGGCTCCTAAGTTCATGCTCTTTTGTAATGTCCTCTATAGGTAAAGCTTAACATCTCCAAGTACCGCATAGCCGAGAGGTGTTATATCAACTGCAATATTGAATTTGTAATACGGTAAAGTTTTACAAAGTAGATTGTTATAACAGGAATAGTAAAAGCAACAAAAATACATTGCCATTTTTAGTGATGTGCAGAACATCCAAAAAACAAAATACTTTAAAACATAATAATATTTTATTTACACATATATAATTCACATTATCCATCATTTTGACCTGGTTCCCTAATTATTTTCACTGTACATAAATTAATGGTAGCTGAGAAAAACAAAAGCCAGACACAAAATCATTTAGGAAATATATCAGATCATATGCATACGGATTCAAGGAGATAAATATACACTTTTTTCTTATTAGAGACACTAAGATGTCAAGCGTTAAAGAAGCTGGAACATCTATAGTTGCACCTAGTATCAATAAAGTAAGACCACATACCATGATAATTACATGATTTTATAAGTTTTCATCTCATAACCACTTGGTACCATAAATAGTTTGGAAATCGAACCTTGAGACGATCAGTGCCATAAGGCATAAACACACTTATAATCCTAAGTTCCATGAGTCTCTTGATGAGCTTTCCAATCGGCATGTTTATTTATCCCGGATAACATGAATAGTAACATAATTCAAGGAAACATAGATCCTAAACCATTTTGTCACCCAATATGTTGTTTTGCTCCTTGTATAACTGTACATAGAGAAGCAGGGGCGGAGACCTGAAAGCATAAGAGAGAGTGAGAGATTAGGATTTTCATTTTTTCACTTAATATTTTGAAACTCACTTATGTTCATTCAGAATAATGAGAAAAAAAATGTTATAAACACTGTCTCCAATCATTATCAATAAAATCAGTAATCAAAACTTAAATAGAGACCAGAGAATCCACAAAGTAAATAAACATAAAAGCTCTTAAATTTCCCGTTTAAATTACCAAACCTCGCAATTTTCATTATCATTTAAAATCTGAACATATATTTAAAATGATATTAAACAGTTATCAAAAATAACAAGAAGGAGCTGATCTTTATTTTGAAGAGCCAATGTTACACCATTTTTTTTTATCAATGAGAGGAGAATCTGAATAGTTTCTTACACTATTTTACCAGATGGATGCCAAAACAGATGTAGGTTTACCCAAAAATAGGACCGGGTCTTCAAGCCGATACAGAAGGCAGATTGTAGAAATCCTAAGAAAACTCAACCGGCATCAAATAGAAACTATCAGTTGATCTCCTTAGCAGTCAAATCAAAAACACTAAAAATGTAATTTTAATGAAAACATAATAAGTTATGAATAGTCTGTACATAAACTAATAACTAACCCTTGTGAGTCTTTACAGAAACAAATAACTAAATGTAATAAGTTATGCATAGTCTTTAGAGAAACAAATTGGTATAAGTTCATTACAGCCATTTTATCAAGCTTACATGCATAATGATAGTTACTTCTTTTCTACTACCATTCCAACATGAGCAACTATGAGTACTTGATGTGATTCTTAATAAAAAAATAATCAAAAAATAAGAAAGATGGCAAATAGAGGTTCAAAATTGTAATATCAAGTAGAGTGAGCAATCACCTTTCTAGTTTCTCCACCATGATATGGATTAACCTGTTGTAAAAAACCAGCACCATATGCAAATTCAAAATAGTGCTCATTAACCTGGCATGCATATAAAGGTATACAACTATCAAATTTATGAATCAGAAACTCCCCCACAATTGGTTAAAAGTTAGATTTCATGTCATTTTCTCTAACGTCCTTTAACTCCTTTCTTTTAAACCTCAATCAACTTCTCATTCTGTTTTTTTTCTTGTTTTAAACCTACAAATGACAAAGTTGTTTCTAACAGCTATCAAAAGATCAGAATTTAGATCCAAATGTTATTAGATCATGCATACAATTTGTCAATCATTTTTTAGTGATCAAGTTCAAGATACTATCATTTCTCTTGAATCAACATGTAAATAGGCGAATAATTGAGCTCAACCAAGTCCATAAATCTTTCAAAACATAAGGGATTCTTGTCGATGCATTTTATACCACTGACAACCCCAAAGGAATCCTACTCTCCAGCCCTTCAACCAATGAATTCAGATCCAGGTATCAGCACAGCTGGTATTTTCATACTTTGAACCACCATCAAGATTGCCAAAAAAAAATCAGATAAAGCGAGATAGATAGAGAAGGTAAAGAGAGTGAGTGAGTTTGAAGAGACCTCTATAGCGAAGGGTAGATTTAGGGTTTCCCATGAATCTTCAAGTGGTTAATGGTGTTCAGATCTGTCAAATCATATGCATAAACATATAAAGAAACTCATCAAAAAAGAAAACCCAAAGAAAAAACACACAACAAGCATATGGGAAATGGTAAGATGGTTTAGGGTTATTAACATTTAAAACACAATTAACAGAATTATAACCTATTAATGATCTAAAACACCAAGACACAAAAGCAACGATGGTTCGTTCAATTCTCTGGGATGTTACGTTCCAGATTTTCTGAAATGTAAATCAAACGAAGTCATAAAACCAAACCTTTCACTTGCTTAATCGGTACACTCTTAGAAGACTTCAAGATTGTTTGATCCCTAGTAGATGAAATCAAAAGCCACGACAAAATCGATCGACATACACGATAAAGGGAATGACAATTTGATGATTCGACAAAAGAAGTTTGTAGGTGGTTGGCTTGTAGTGGCTTCGTGAGGAAGGGTGAGAGAACGATGGATTCAATGGCTTTCGAGTTCCGATTTCTGTGGGTTCAATGCCTTCCGAGAGGAGAAGAAATTGGGGATGAATGTGCGTAACGGCGGATTGAGAGGTAAATGTAAATTAGGGCAACCGGGATTTATTTTTGACTTTATCTGTGTTTGTTTGAGAGTAAAAATTACATTCTTTATTGTGATTGGTTGAAATCATTTCTCATGGATTACCAATAACAATATCATAGCCATTCATCTTAGATCCAATGGTCCAATTTTAGTCTCCTTGTTTTTAAGATAAATGTCTTAAAAGTTAAGGGACCCACAAACATATACTCTTTATA